CAGGTACTACCATATTTCTTCTTCATGTTTTACAGATTTTATAAGTTGAAACTAACAAAGAGGTATAACTGTTGAATTATAAGGGAAACATTTCTTCTTCATTTCATGTTTTCTTGGGATGAATTTATAACTGTTGCTTGGTTCTTGTCATTACCAAAGAGAATCTCATATTCTAAACTGTCAATTGGTTTCTAAATTTGGCACCATTAGTCAATTTGGTCTTGACACTGTCGAGTCAATCAATTTTGTCCATAAGCATAGTAAATCAGCTCTCCAATGCTAAAGATCTTGTTGAACCACGCCAAAGCTACTTATGGAGTTGTCTAGTAGATGCCAAAGTAATGGATTAAGTCGTTACGAAAGAACAAGTCAAGAAACTAAATAGATGTTTACTTGCTGTGAAAGAACAGCAGAAAAAGAATGCAGGGCTTCTGATTTATGCATTGTATGTGTGTTGAAACTTTCAAATTAATGGTATGTGTGGTTTTGATTGAATGGATTCTCAGGAGAGGGTAAAAATTCCGGATGATAAGATGGCGTATTACGAGGACCTAGCGGAGATGTACGTGGGGGATGATGTTTCTCCGGATTTCTACGGGTGGGTATTTCCAAAATGTGACCATGTGGCTGTTGGAACTGGTACCGTGACACACAAGGGGGACATCAAGAAGTTCCAACTAGCAACAAGGAAGAGAGCAGAAGACAAAATTTTGGGAGGCAAGATCATCAGAGTGGAGGCTCACCCTATCCCGGAACATCCGCGGCCGCGAAGGTTGTTGGGTAGAGTGGCTCTGGTGGGCGATGCTGCTGGGTATGTAACGAAATGCTCCGGAGAGGGAATCTATTTTGCGGCGAAGAGTGGTAGAATGTGTGCAGAGGCAATTGTTGAAGGTTCGGAGAATGGGAAGAGGATGGTGGAAGAAGGGGACTTGAGGAAGTACTTGGAGAAGTGGGATAAGACTTATTGGCCGACTTACAAGGTGTTGGATGTGCTTCAGAAGGTGTTTTACAGGTCGAACCCAGCTAGGGAAGCGTTTGTGGAGATGTGTGCTGATGAGTATGTGCAGAAGATGACATTTGATAGCTATTTGTACAAGACAGTGGTGCCTGGAAATCCTCTGGAGGATCTGAAATTGGCCATTAACACCATTGGGAGCTTAGTTAGGGCCAGTGCCATAAGGAGGGAGATGAACAAACTTAATGTATGATATGACAATAGTCATCATCTCTCTATATCTCTCATACATTTTTAATTCTTTTTTGCATTATGTATTTCCTACTGGACACCATCTCCTTTCATATCATAACTATATATCTACGTTTAAGCAAAAGGGTTGAACTTTCACGCAATTCCCATAACACAACTTTTGCACCTAATTGATAATCCAAAATAGAAGAAATCCAAAGAAGCGTTGTGATTATCAAGCAATGTGACTTACTTTGATTCCTAGGAAAATGATTTCACGCTAAATTTAATGATATGTCCATGCTAATGATGTAATGATAAGCGCAACTTGTCTCAATTTTTCTTATCTTGATTTTATATACTTTTAACAATGTGTGGCCTTTACCTCTTGGTTGTTTTCAAGGGTCGAAGTTGGTACTCTATTACATAATAATATTTCCTGTATTTTATACCAATCACCAAGCAATGCATTTTTTAAACTTTTATTTATAACGGGATTAAATAATATAAAACAAATAAATATAGTATAAAAATATAATTGAACCTTGTTTTTCTCTTACCAGCTTTGGATTTAGTTCTGTAATTAATTTACTCTGGTAAGAGTTTTATACCCACAACTTATATATAAATTCTATTTATGAATTTAATTAATTACATGACCTTTTAAAACAATTTCTCAAATTCAAAAAGTTAGTACCTTAAAATATCTTTAGTAGAAATTAATTTCAAAAGTATTTATGAATTAAAGTATCATTTTAATATAACTTTTAAGTATAAATTGTTTAAAGTTAAGGAGAGTTATGAATTTACCCATTATGCATACGATAATATCTATCAGCTCTTAAATGGAAACTGCCATTTCCTAGCACGAAATCAACTGAGTGGGATTTATCAATGTTTTGTTTGAATAATAGGTAAAAAGAATAAAAAATTACCCTACAAAATTAGGTGATACCATGAAAAAATATAAACAATTATTTATCAAAACGAATCCAGTACTGATTTCTTAAAAAATGAAATATTTTTGTTTTTTTAAATTAAAAATACAATTTGAATGCTTGAGAAAATCTGTTAAACTAAAAATAGTTTTAAAAACACATTTTAATTTTTAAATCTAATAACTGAACTGATAAGATTAAAATCATAATTAAGACATAAATAATTGATATAAAAGAAAATAAAAAAAAAGGTAAAATAAGAAGAGTGATGCAAGGACGTGGCAGGAGAGTGAAGAAGATTAATTTTTTCTTTAGCGTTTGGTGAGGTAAAGGGTAGAGTGAGTGTGTATATATATTCGGCATTCGGCTGGTGTTTGCATTCCTCCACCATCCATACCAATCCAATCTCTCAGGCGGAGATTTCAAACCCATCTTTGCTTCTTAAAGCTCTTTGTCTTTCTCATCACCGTTCACTCCCAGGTACGTTTTTCTCTTTCTCGCCGCCAGATCTCAATCCTTTCCCTCACCCCAGATCTGTTCATGCGTGATTCTCTTCTATTTCCCCTTTTTCTGCTTTTCATTTCTCGCTTCAATTATCAATGTGGAATTTCGATTCCAAATTATGCCTCTCATTAACTAATCTCGACCATGCATGCTATTTTTCAGCTCTTTCCGTGCTGCATGTCATTTCATTGAGCTTTTCCAACCTGTTTCTTTGCTTATATTGAATAATTTGTTGGGCTAGGGTTTAGCTTACATAAATCTGTTGGAATATAAGCCTTGTGCTTTATTATTTCTTTGGTGTTTTGTTTGTTTCAAACAGGTTTCTGTGGGTTAATGGAACAGACCTCATGCCGTTTTTTTGTATCACAGGTTGAGATGGCAGCGGCACCTGCAGCTACTTTCACTATTGGATCCACCGGTACCCTTGGTCAAAGAGGAAGCTCTTCTCCTCAATTAAGGACTTTTGGGTTAAAATTCAACACCCAAAATCCTTTGAAGAGTTTCTGTGGCCTCAAGGCTATGTCATCTGTGAGATGTGAGTCAGAATTATCTTTCTTAGCTAACAAAAGTGGTTCTGCTCTGCGGGCATCTTTTTCATCCAAGGCTCAGAAGGAAAACAACCAGAACTTCAACCACAAGTTGCAGCCTCAGGCTTCGTTCAAAGTTGCAGTTCTTGGGGCTGCTGGAGGGATTGGACAGCCGCTCGCGCTTCTTATCAAAATGTCCCCTTTAGTTTCCGACCTGCATCTCTATGATATTGCGAATGTCAAGGGAGTGGCTGCTGATATTAGTCACTGCAACACACCCTCACAAGTGAGGGATTTCACTGGAGCTTCTGAGTTGGCAAATTGTTTGAATGGTGTGGATGTTGTTGTCATTCCTGCCGGTGTTCCGAGGAAGCCCGGCATGACTCGTGATGACCTTTTCAACATCAATGCTGGAATAGTCAGGGACTTAGTTTCGGCTGTTGCGGATAATTGCCCAGGTGCTTTTATTCAAATTATCAGTAACCCTGTGAACTCTACTGTGCCTATTGCTGCAGAAGTTTTGAAACAAAAGGGTGTCTATGATCCTAAAAAGCTCTTTGGTGTTACCACACTGGATGTTGTGAGGGCAAACACATTTGTTGCTCAGAGGAAGAACCTGAAGCTGATTGATGTTGATGTCCCTGTTGTTGGGGGCCATGCCGGGATTACCATTCTTCCTCTCTTGTCAAAGACAAGACCCTCAGCGAGTTTCACTGATGAAGAGGTTGAGGAGTTGACGGTCAGGATTCAAAACGCTGGTACTGAAGTTGTGGAAGCAAAGGCAGGGGCTGGGTCTGCTACCTTGTCAATGGCATATGCAGCTGCTAGATTTGTTGAGTCGTCTTTGCGTGCACTTGATGGAGACGGAGATGTGTATGAGTGCTCATTTGTGCAATCAGATTTGACTGACCTTCCATTCTTTGCTTCAAGGGTGAAGCTTGGTAGGAAAGGTATCGAGGCTTTAATTCCATCTGACCTCCAAGGGTTGACTGACTACGAGCAGAAGGCTTTGGAAGCACTTAAGCCAGAACTCAAGGCCAGCATAGAGAAGGGGATTGCTTTCGCTCAGAAGCAAACTGTTGCTGCTTAACTTCATTTTGTCAACGGTGATTTCTTGGGTTATGAATTTATTTGAGCATAAATATAACGAGAAATTAGGTTGCGAGTTTGTTGTAGCATCTTTTCTGCTTCCGGAACCTAGGATTCAAATTTTCCGTAGTATCAATTGTATTTCCAGTTTTGTTAGTAGAACGTGAGGGAGCTTCCATCTCTGTTCTCTATACCAAGCTTAGGTTTTGATAAAATCTCCCAAGATGTCACCATTATAATTTAGAACCGGAGAAATATAAATGTTTGAATAATACGGCAATGGACCAGCTTTTTGTTTCTTCGTTGAATCCAATAAATGTTTTTTGGTTGAATCATTTATAATCCAGGCAAGCTCTGGCGTAGTTGAACATGCAGTGGACTTTTCGGTCATCAATGCCAGATAAATGGGCCCTTTAATTGATGGATATAAATAGTCTGCTTATAGAAGATTGCAGTTTGAAAATAACTGCATGACGATGTGTTTTAATTAACCCTACTACTCGTGGATTTTAAGTTGTATTTGTAATTTCTTTTTATTAAAATATTTTTCATGATCAAGATTGTCCGCAGATAGTTTATCTTACCTGGTTAGAATCAATTAGATTTTTTACGATATTCTTACTTTAAGTCACTAGCCAGACGTAAGAGCAATTTTAAGTACAAAAAATAAGAGAAAAAAACTGTCTGATGCTGTTATCTAAATGGAATGCATATAAAATTATCATTTGGCATTATCAGAGCGCTTTAATATGGCTCCTTAATATATTTTGAATGGACAAAAGCTGTATGGTCAGAGTTGATCCAGTTAGCAGTGATTGTAACCTTGTCAGCACTTCGAGGAATGCCAATGTCAAGCAAAATCGACGTATTATACAGGACGAACCTACCCTCTCTTAGGTCAAATGACTATAGCTCAGTGTACTGTTTCAATTGATCTTCAATATAAGAAAAAGTTCTCCAAAAGCTTAAAAACAAAAAATCTCATCCCAACAACAAATTTGCCGGGTAGCAGATTTGATGTTTTGCAGGTCACCGGTGTTTGTTAGGTGTCTGATATCGTGTCCAGCAGGATCGTCCTCGAATAGTCTATCCATAAGCTTCAGAAACAATCAGCTGAGACCGTGGTACTAACAGGTGCTGCGGTGCCATGAAATGATACTGGAATAAAGGCAATGGTTATCTGAACCTTAACTGATCCACACTAGCAATGCAGTTAATGCCTGTTGGGTAGTTTGTATTTATGGTTGCATTTCAATTAAGCCAATATTTCACCAAGTTTCTACAAATAACCAGCCGTAAAATTAGCAATTCTACATTTAGTTTCCCTTGGGAATAATTTCAGTACAGTAACACTCGGCGCTCGACATGACACATTTATCATCTGCAAATAATTTCCCTACCAATAATCGTTACATGAGCAGTGCCCTCCCCTAAAGTGGTGAAATCGATTATGGTCCCTAAGAAATACATCACGGTTGTAAACCCCAGAAAAAAGTTTTAGAAAATTGTGGCAGTCAACACATATACGGATATTACTGGCCACTCTTAGTGTTGTGCCAGGTGGAGTTGCAAGAACCCCGAAAGCAACAGCCAATTTTTCACTGTGATGTGAGAGCACATACCCCTTTTCTTTGTCATTCATCTTATGTAACTCAGATGAAAGTTCAACAACATAACCTGCAATCCTCAGCTGATGATTAATCTCATCTAGCTTCTCATAAATCAAACGATTTTTTGAATGTGAAATGTCGTCCACAACAAACTCGTGTACTACTCCTTTCAATTCGATTGTGCTGCAACCTGGGGTTGTTCGGATTGCTTTATCTTTCATCAATTTCCTCACTTCTGCTACCTTTTCCCAGTGTCCAGCTGAAGAATAAATATTCAAAAGTAAAACGTAATCCCCAGCTTCTTGAGCTTTCAATTCAATCAAATGCCCAATTACTTGTTCACCAAGTGTAACATGGCCATGAATCCTACAAGCCCCAAGCAAAGTCCTCCATATTTTGGAATCTGGCTTCACTACCATTGACATAATAAGCTGATAAGCCTTATCAAGCAGGCCAACACGGCCCAAGAGATCAACCATGCACCCATAGTGATGAACGTTGGGAGTTATTCCAAACTCTGTGTTCATACGGTCAAAAACTGACATTCCCTCATCAACCATTCCAGAATGACTGCAAGCAGAAAGGACACCCGTGAATGTCTGATCATCCGGCTGAATGCCAATTCTCAGCATCTCTTCAAATGCCTCAATAGCTTCCCTTCCATATCCATTCATTGCCAAACCAGAGATCATAGCACTCCACGAAACCACACTTTTATTTCCTGTTCTCTTAAAAATCTCATAAGCCTTCTCTAGACAACCACAACGTGAATACATAGAGATGAGTGCATTTGATAAATTGGGAGCATCACCATAACCACGCTCTATTATATAGCCATGAATTCGTTCACCAAATTCCAAGGCATTCAAATGAGCACAAGCCTGAAGAAGAAGCAAACAAGTAACATCATCAGGCTCACATTTATCGCTCGAACCCTGCATAACATCAAACAAACTCAAAGCGTCCCGAGTCCTATTATTTCGAACACAGCAAGAGATCATCACATTCCAAGCAACAGTGTCCCTTTGAGGCATCTCATCGAACACCTTGCACGCATCACCACCACTCCGGCATTGCGAATACAGGTCCATGACAGCGGTGAGCAAAAGGGTATCCCATTGGTGCCCATCTTTGAATATGTTGCAATGAACCTGAATCCCTCCAAGAAGATACAGAAGCCTAATACAAGACTTAACAGCAAAGGAAGCCGATAAAGGGTCTGCAGCAATGCCTCTTCTTCTCATATCTCGATATAAAAGGAGACCCTTTCGCGGGGAATCACTCGTGGAACAGGCTCTGATCATTGTGTTGTAATGAAAAATCAAGGGGTGGGTGAGTTGCTCAAAAAAACGGTGGGAATAGTTGGCATCTTGCAATGGACCAGAGAGAGCTATACGGGACAAGAACTGAATAGAAACTGGGGGGTATTGAATGAGGTTTGTGCGTATAATGTGAGCGTGGATTTGGAGCAACTGGATCTTTTGGGAAACAGATTTTATGGCAGAAATCACGGGTTCTAGAGCCATTTCATACTCAACGTTTGAGTTTTGCGGTGAATCAATAGTGGCCTCCGATCACATGGATGTGAGATAGTTTCAGTGATAACCAACAAACTACAACACCACAACCAAAAGAACTGCTAATGCCCAAGGGAAACGATTTTCAAAAGAAATTCCAGGGTGGAAGAGTGAAACAGGCCATGACTGTGGAAAATATTATTAAAATCATAAAGGGCGAAGATCAATATTTTTTCTTCTATTAAAATGACTATTTTGAATATATTTTAAACCTTATCATTTAATTGTCACAATGTTATAAATAGACTTTCATTTGAGTATGGAAAAAAATCATTGGTTAACATCTAAATTATTTTGTCAAAATATTGACTAATTGTATTATAGTCTTTTGTTGTTAATGGTCAATTAAATACATTTAGAATCTGGTTTATCCTGTAGAAATTATATCATTATTGAATATACAGTCTTTTTGTTGCACTTGATTTGATTTGGTTCCTCATCTTTATTTTTACTATGAATTAGAAGGACAATGGAATTCTAAAAGGATTTCAATATTGGAGTGATCTTGAAAGAAGAAGAGAGAGTCACTTGTAAAGACTTTATTACTCTTGCAGCCATCATGGTTAATTCATATTTTTAAAGTTTCTTTTAAAGTGATTTGCTTCATTTCTATCCTTTTACGAGAATGATACAACAAATTATATATAAAAAATGCTTAGTTTACATATAAAAATATATCTAATAAAAAATATTTCAAAAGAGTGTTATTTCCTTGTTGAATTAAACTAGTGACATTAAGAAGTGTGATGTAGTGGTGATATGTTTATACGTAATAGTTTAAAACAATAATTAATATAATGTTATTGTAAGGTGGAATATATTTTTAATTCTATAATTCTTTCTGTTTTTTATATTTTTTTTATGCACTGCTCGGTCGATATACCTAAAAAAACATTCATACTTAAAGATATGTTCATTTGAAGGAATGATTTGAGAGAGGGAATGAATTTGAGCTTAATTAATTAAATATTGTTTTTTTAAGAGATTTAAGGTGAGTGAAAGTGGACTTAGAAAAAAAGTTTGTAAAAATTAATGTAAAATTTAATGGATGTCACTTATAAGAAAAGTTATTTTAGTTGATAAAATTTAAAAATTACCAAAATATCCTTAGTGATAAAAATAATATAAAATGCTATTTATTAATAATATATTTATTGGAAAAAATATTATAAAAAGAAAAAAATCAAAATTATTTTTTAAAGTAAAATAAATTTGTATTTAAGTAAAGTCAAATAATTATGTATAAAAACATTAGTAATAAAAGATTTATTTATTATTAATGTTATTATTATTGAAATTATTGAAGACTAAAAATCCTGAAGACTTAAAAAAAATGAAATAGAAACAAAAAAAAAAATTGTTGCAGAAATTATGATAAAATGGTTTCAAAGGAATGATATATTTCATATCAGAATGGTTTTGGTCCCACACAATGCAAATGGTTTAGAATGAATTTGTTTTAGGGGTAAAAACGATTTCTTATAAAAAATTACCTCAAATCTCTTGCTATCACCGCAGATGGACTAAATATTGAATCCTGCGAATCATAGCCTCTTATTCCTTCTGAATTCCTTCATACGAACATCATTAAAATCTCAAATCCATCTTTTCCAATACACGTGAATAGAGATATCCATCCAAGCAAATAGAGCCTAAGTATTTGGTTTCCAAGAATATAATAAATGTACATAATCTAAAAGTATTAAATACTTTATATATAATTCAGTGTTTTTAGTGGATTTTTACCTTTTGAAATGCCTAATTGTAATGACACCTTAACCTTACTTAGAAGGTCATAGTGTTCAGTATTGACAATTCTATTGATTATAAGAGAAAACATGCCTATCGTCGAGACATCACTATGTTCTGATTGTTTCTTATACGGATCATACCACCTCTCACTGATAATATTGTTTTAAAAGATGTAATGTACCTATAATTATCATTATATTTTTTATATTTTCGTTTATTATAAATTTAATAATTTTATATAAATCAATATTTTAAATGTAATGATATTAAGTTTATTTTGAAGGATCTCAATAATTGGTTCCACGTATTGAAATATTAGCAACTATTTGTCTCTTTTCCTATTCTCTTAATAAAAGACAACATCATTTATAAAAGAAATATAAGAAAATGATATATTTTAACCTTATGTAAATTTAAAACTAAAGGATAAGAACATATTATATGTATAGAAGCGGATACAATTTATAGTATGATATTTTATCACGATTTCAGGAAAAAGGAAAAAGAAAAAGAATTTTATACCTTCATGTCCCACACTTCCTATTTCTATTTACTTATTTTTCACGGAAAAATCTTACTTCCGTTTACTTAGTTGATGGTTGAACAAATTCGCTTATAAATACTCACGAGAAAATATGTAAAAAAAATGGAGCTTTATCATTAATTAAAATCAAATTATATAGGCAATATAATTGAATGAATTTTTTTTATATAAAAATTATGTCTAAGTTTTTGGCATAACCATAATTTATTTTATTTTTATTCTATTTTAAAGAAACCTGTCATATACTTGGAAAGGAGTATATTAATGCGAGTAAATGCACAGCACTGTGAAAATAACTCCCTCGAAAATAACCAAGCATATACTACTATAACGGTAATTTGTGGTGGTTTATTATTTATTGACACATTTTTCCAACTCTTATTATTGTATTGGGTAATAAATCACATACCATTTATTATAATTCCATTTCTCTCTTTCTCGTAAACTTCAAATTAGAATATCCACACATTGATAAATAAATGAAAAGATTCATCCACTGTAGGTGCTGGTGAACATAGAAAACAACATATCTATCTTTATGTTGCTCTGTGCCTTTCTTAACTTAAGCAATTCCAAATTAAGACTACACAAAAATACCATGAATTCGACAATGCCACCACAAAACGTTACCCACAGACACCATACAGAAACATCTAAACATTCTCATCACAGTTTTAAATATTGGTTTGCAATGAGTTGTATGACAAACAAAAAAACTCCATTGCTAATATTGTTGAATCTTACATATATTTAAGCTAACTGAGAAATGAGATACTTCATATCCAGTTCTTCTTCACTTTCGTTATTATATTCTGACATCGCGCCACTCCAAGAAGAACACTCTGGTTCCCTTTGTCCTAGCTTCCTTTTCTTGTAGTTGGCCTTGAAACATGCCTGTCTAAGTCTTTTTGTATTGTCTTCCAGTTCAATGTCTGGCATTTCCTCCAAAAGCTTCTTTTCATTTTCCAATGTCTCAATGGCAAATCTTAACTTCTCTTCACTCTCCGGCCCCTCCTCTTTCAGCAGCTCCTGCACCTCAAACCCCATTGCCCAAAATTAGGAAATAGCTACCCTCATTTTATCACAATAAAGTGTAGTAAATAATCAAACACAACGTACATATCAGAAACACAACGTACGTACCTGTACATTATTTATCAGAGTTTGCAAGCTCATCAGCTTTCTGTGGGGCCACCTTCTGATACCCAACTCTCTGCACCTTTTCTTCAAAAGTGTCAGCCCCACATTCATTTCTCTGGCAGCTTGTGTTATTGGCATGTAAAAGTACTCAGATATCGTCTTCCTTGATAACTTTCTGCTATTTCTAGGGTTCGTTATTTCTTCTCTCCCCTCGTTAACCTTTCTATCATCCACCATCTCCTTCAAACTTTCTTCCTTGTTACGAAATAAAAAATCGACTTCCGAATCAAACACAGCATTCACTTCGTTCCACACAGGAAGCCCCTTAGATATATCATAAAAATCACAGTCTGCTGTAACAAGACAATCAACATCTAAATAAGGACAACTAACATAGTAGTAGCATCATCGTAAAATATAAAGACTTTGAAAACTCATGTTCTTGATGTTGACGTGTGTATAACCTCGCAGGGTCGGTGATGGTTCGATGGCGAGCGTTTCGTATAAAGGATCAGAAGGGTAATACTCCGTAAGAGGAACAGCATCATGGTGGTATTCTTGTATGGGTAAATCTTGTAGTGGAGGAGGATACACTTCACTGTTTTCGCTGAGAAAAAGGCATTCCAATAATTACAATTCAAAACCTAAACGAACGTACTAACATTTCGTCATGGTGGGAAGGCGTAGAGGAGAACGGTTTACCTGTAAGAAAACTGGCACGTAAATGGCAATGGGTTTTCTTCTATCTGATAATAAGAGCTCCAACTCATAAGAGGGTGAGAGTCCATGATCATGGTGAAGTAACCAAAGGATATAACAGTGTGGGAATATGAAAGGAAGTTGGCTATATATATATATACATACATACACGAAATATGGATATGAATTTACTGCATCGTTGATGACGATGATAATGATGATGATAGTGTATCATTTGTAACAAATGGAAGCAATTAATTGCTTGGAGAATGTGCGCCGTCTTGTGTGCATGAATGCATTTTAATGGTGAAGAGTATGCTTGTGAGAGTTACAAGATCAATTTAATTATCAGTAGAAATATCCAAGGGTTCTAAATGCTCAATATCTCAACCTTTGGATCGGATGAAAAATTAATTTGTTTGCCTTCTTTTTTCTGTTTTAGCAAATATACATGAATTGGTTGTTCTCTACCAGAGTTTAATCTATACAGAAGTTGAAAAGATATACTGAATAGAGGGTATAGTATAGCTATATATAGTAGATGGTGGCTTCATGATGTGTTTTTTATCATAGACTTAATCAAGTTGAGAAAATGTTTCTATCAATTATCAATTCGCAGTCACTTTCAAAAATTTGGTTGGGAATGAGCGATTAGGCATGCTAAGTTTGCAGTAATTGATATGATGCTGAATTAAATCATCAATATGATGCTGATTGGGCCACGTTCATGGTTGCATGCTGCACGTTTTCCCGTTTTCTTCCAAGCAATGGAAATACCTGAATGTTTAACAAATTACTATGAAGCAATAATCATAATCATTTGCCTCTCTGCAACTTCATCTACCAATAATCATTACTGATAATATTAGATTTGGGGGCGATAATTAATGACACACGGCTGCTTATCTATTTTTACCTTTTGAATGCCCTAATTCA